AGCCCCCGTTTCGGTGCTGCGGAATCCGGTCACGTACAAGTGCTGGCCAACCGCAGCTTCCGTGCCGCCGACAATTTCTTGTTGGGCGACGACGGTGGTGGAGGCAGCGAAGAGAGTAGACAAGGCAAACAGAACGTTCATGGCAAGTGGCAAATTCAAAAATGAAGTCTGAACTAAAGATGCAAGCAGCCCAACCGATCGTAGTAAATCATCGGATAGAAGTGATCAATGGGTAATCTGAGTTGACAACATATCACTTCAAGGCCGGCCACATACGCATCGAGGTACGCGTAAATTCGTTGTTGGTCTGAGCTGCACTGATGTTTTTCTCATAATAGACTGCAATTTGAGGGTTTTATTGAATTTGTATTCGCTGACCACCTAACCTAAATTTAGGCCCTTATTAGCATCGTACTAGTATGTACTCATCGGTGGACGAAAGAATGCATCTAGATATTGACTGTAAAATTGTACTAGTACTTTGGGTCAAAACAGCAGTGGAACTGTTTTACTGAGAGAATTATTCACTTGATACTACTGCCCTTGTTGGGGTTGGTTCAATGGTTTTGCATGGATTGGATTGGACGTTGTAACATCATGTAACTGTTGTAGTTCAAAGTACAGTTCTACGTAGTAGATGAGTAGCACCGGACCACATACTAGTAGTACTATTAACAGTCCAGATTACTAGTACTGCCGTTAGTACGTATTACTATTAATAGTACTAGCACGAGGTAATTGGGGCGAAATGGCAGTAGATGTACAGTAAGTAGTACAGTACCGTGCTTTATATGATAGTACAGTAATGTTCTGGCTTCCAGTGCTTGCTTTCCACCATTTCGCAAATGTCAGCACTATAGTGACAAACACACAGTACTGTACTGCATGTATGGAAGCCTTATTGTTGACCCAACTACTGTAGTTGTCCATTGTGCAACCCTACTCCTAGACTTTCAACCATGACCTTCGACACTCCTTCTGAGTTTTCTATTGTTGGCATTTCCAATTCCACAGGTCTGTAAGTATTACTTTGAAGTATTAGTATTGATAGTACTAGTACTACAACAATATAACTTCATGCGGTTGCGCTGCGCTTGCAATAGCGTTACTGTAGTACTGTGCATACTTCGAAATAAGCTTGAAGAGTCGATGCATACAGTTGTTCCAAGCACATGGCAGTAATATGTCCAAGTGTCATGAACGATGGAAACCTGCCTTGCGATGCTCCATTCTAGTATACTGTACTAGTATGATCTAACACACAATTGTCTCATGAATATCAGTACTAGTAAACGCAGATGACGTCCAATAGTACATGCATACGATAACCATTCAGCCGAGTGCGACAGTACTCGGATTCATCACATCCATTAATCACCTCAGTCACGGTATATGGGTGGCCGGGTTTGATATACAGTCAACTCAGATGACCCATCATCGACTCATTCACAATCCTGACCGATGACTGTCTGAGTTCGGGCTGCTTTGATCTTTAGTTCAGACTTCATTTTTGAATTTGCCACTTGCCATGAACGTTCTGTTTGCCTTGTCTACTCTCTTCGCTGCCTCCACCACCGTCGTCGCCCAACAAGAAATTGTCGGCGGCACGGAAGCTGCGGTTGGCCAGCACTTGTACGTGACCGGATTCCGCAGCACCGAAACGGGGGCTGCTTCGTGTGGATCCAGTTTGATCGCCCCCAACGTCGTCTTGACCGCCGCCCACTGCATCGGAGGAGGTCGCACCTTTGTATCGATCGGATCGCATTACAAGTCCGGCACAAAAGACGGCGAACGCATCAAAGTCAAGCAAGCCATCAAACACCCCAAGTACAACGCCGGGACCACGAGCTACGACTTTGCCATCTTGATCTTGGAACAACCGTCCAAGTTCCCTCCGGTCCAGGTCTCGTTTGACACGGTGGCGCCTGGCACCCCTTCGATTGTGCGCGGGTGGGGCCGTACGTCTTCGGGCGGAGCTTCTTCCGAAGTGCTGCTGGAAGTCGGCGTGAATTCCATCAGCAACGACCAATGCGCAAAGCTGTTGACCGGATTCACCGTGAACGAAGCCATGCTGTGTGCGGGCGGCAAGTTGGGCGAAGATTCGTGCCAAGGCGACTCTGGTGGACCATTGACGGTCGAATCGAACGGGTCTGTCAAGTTGGTGGGTGTGGTCAGCTGGGGCATCGGCTGTGCCCAGCAGGACAAGCCTGGCGTGTATAGTCGCATCTCCATCGCCCGCGACTTTATTGAACCCTTCATCACCACGTCCCCCACCGCTGTCCCTATCACCACCAAGCCTTCTGCCGCCCCCACTGTCTCCCCTGTTACCAGCAAGACCCCTACTGCGGCCCCGATTACCACGAACCCTACCGTGGCTCCTATCACCACTGCCAAAGTTCCTACGGTAGTCCCTACTGTCGCCCCTACGACTGCCTCGCCATCCAAGTGCAATGGTTGCTCTACGTGCTTCTACCCTACGCTGAACTACTGCTTCCCCCCTGCGTACACCAAAACGATCTGTGAATCGTACGCAAGCTTGGGAGCGTTCTGGTGCGGAAACTAGTTTATCATGCGATGTGTCTGGCGTTTGAGAGAACGGTTATGTGTGAATAAAATTGTAAATGTACTGTCAGAACTAATATACTTTCAGTTCTTCCTCCATCCACACACATGTCTGCTGCTGGCTTTCTGCCCTCTCCACTGGTTATGAGCCTTACTACTGCTTCCTCTGGCGGGTCACGGTGAAGAATACCATCGTGATGACCGAGACAGAGTTACCCATGATGACTATCGTTAGGTTTCCGCGACGACTACCGTGAGGTTTCTGCGACGACTACAGTGAGGTTTCCGCGACGACTACCGTGAGGTTTCCGCGACGACTACCGTGGCAACGATCACGAAGTAGACCGCGTGAAAGGCGACTGTGTTTACCGAAAAGAACACCGCGACGAATATTCCGTGAAGGCTACTGTGACAACGATCACGAAGTGACCGCGACGAAAAATGTCCGCGAAAAATATGACCCCGTCGACAACTACATTGGGACTAC